CACAAGAAGTTTCCTGGTTTGAAGTGTCAGAAAGTGAACGTCGATCACCCTCCTTCTACGATGCCGATCATTACCAGCGTACATGCGATTGGTGAGATAAAATATACCCATACTATGTTGAAGTTGACTCCTGCGTGCGTGCGTGCGTGCGTGCGTGCGTGCGTACGTGACGAAGGTCAATTATATAGTTTGAACGAGACAATCTAATGAAACCACTGTAGTGTTTAAAAACGATTCACGCCGTTGGGTTTTTTTTGTTTCTAGTTTAACGCCACACTCAGCAATATTCCAAATATATGACGGTGGTCTGTAATAATCGAGTCTGCACCAGTCAAACCAGTGATCAACAGCATGAGCATCGATCTTCGCAACTAGGATACGATAGCACGTATCAGCCAAGTTGCTGTAAAAAAACTTTCAATTAAGAAAAATAAACTTTTAAGTAAAGGTATGAATATGATAAATAAACGCGGTATTTCAAGGATCATGTTCTTTTCTGATGGCATTAGCGGTTCATCAAGTGACAAAAATGTTGAAATACGGGTGTAAGCAGAATCAGACGTCTTTAAGGCTGCCTCTTTTCTCTTTTTTTGTTTTTGCACGTGCAAATCTGGAACTTCCCACTCCATATAGAATGTCGAAAACAATCGGAAAAGACCGACAAGATAAGTATTATTCACACATCTCGGGTGGTTGTAAATTTCCGTTAAGTATTGCTTAAAATGCAAAATGCCTTTGATATATCTTGTATTTGGTGCCAGATTCAACATCACGATTCAATCTTCAGCCTATAACCAGCGTTTAAAATTCCCACCTGCCCGACCGCCCGGACCGGTATATTTTCAACTCGGACGGTCAAATTTCAAAAGTAGCCTGTCCGGCGGTCTGGTAGACACTTTTACCCCTAAGAGTAAATATTTCATAATATCAGACAGGTTCTCGTGTGGTCAGTTTCAGGTGTTTAAGGTATTATGAAAATTATGTTAAACTACATACGATTGTACAGTTCATGCTACGATAACCAATCATAACACATGTTCTTTCAGTTTACCTAAACTCGGTGCATTGCTTGTTAGTGCTATGTAGTTTATTGCGATGCCTACAAACAGTGAATGGAGCTTGCCCGAGTTGGAAATGGCAGTCACAGTTTTTTATTGTTGAAAACCGGTTGTCCGGCTGTCTGGATGTCCGGCTGTCTGGCATGGAATTTGGGGAGTTTTAAACACTGCTATAACTTACACAAAGGTACCATACATGCTGTCTCCACCGACTCCGTGATAACAGGAAGAGCAACCATGAGTCAGCAAGATGAAGCCTTATAAGGTGACGCGACTTGGTTTCCAGACTTGCTCTATTGGGCAAGACACAAACTCTGTGGGTAACACTGTGGACAAGTAAGCAGTTCTACTGGAAGACAATGATGTCGTCAAATAGGAAATCAATTGGAATCAGAAACATTCAGCGGTTTTATTTTATTTATGTGCTATGTTTATTAAGATAGTCTCTGAATATATGCATATTTAATTGAATCAACAAGTTGTTTGTTACAAGTTTTGTCAACTGACTGAAGAATGTCAAACTCATTATTCTGAGACACAGAAGTAGTGTATTTGTATAAATATAAAGCAAGAATAAGGAAGAGAATAGTATGGTTATTTTCTCGGAATCTCTATCAGCTTTTGAAAAATTGAGGATAAATATATGAGCCATTTTGGCTAATTCACCTCCAGTTTTCTAATGTTGGTTCAGCTCGATATATCCTTTTCGCTCGTCACCGACTAATGTCGAATCTAACTGATTACCCAAGATACTTACATCCACCGGTCGTTCGAGGCGCTACCCAATGCTGTTGAGAGGGGGTGCTCTCCGAAGTAGTATTACGAAGTACATATGACTGTAAAAGACAACATAAACCTACCAGAAAACAGAACAGTGGCGTAAAACCATCCCCAGTCACTATCTATATCTGTATCTGTCTGCCCACCCATTCTCTATCTGCCAGAACTTTAACCACTAGGTTTTTAGGTTGGTTTGTGTTTCAACGTTGTGTATTTATATTGCAATGGTTATTACGTATTTGGCATCAACATGTTTGAAAGTTCATTAGCGAGATGTTTGCACAATAATACATTCTTGAATGTACAAATTTGTAACCGTTTGAATACTTGAACTGTGTCCCATTTGACTATCAATTCATACAAAGCGTGTCGTTGTTACCTTTGAATGTTTATCCCGAATAAACTGTTTTCACATGGCCATTTCCGTTTTGTTTAATGTTTCCTGACTCTTTATATATGATGGATTTAATGTGCGGCTGGATTGCAATCTTTAAATCGCATCGGCAATAGTGCAGCGATATGGCGAAAAGAACAAGGCGTGCATGTATTAAATACCAGTAACAAACTACAGTACAACGTACACATCGGTATATTACTCCTTTACAATAACACAAACCTGACCAAAATATATAACACATCGGACCTACTCAATATATCTGAGAAGATAATATGATCTTCTAGAGTTTGATCATTATTTTAATTGTAGTGATATTTGACACTACTTACCCATTACCATGTGAATATGCTTTAAAATTTCACTTATTTCAACGCTAGCTTCTGCCTACATCATTAAACTGGTTTGTATATGTGTTCTTTTATGCCGCAGTCAGTAACATATACCTGCTATATCACTGTGGGGGCGGTGGGGTAGCCTTGTGTTTAAGCGTTCGCCCGTCACGCCAAAGACCCGGGTTTGAATCCCTGCATGGGTGCAGTGTGTGAAGACCATTTCTGGTGTCCCCCGCCGTGATATTCTAAGATACTACTAGATGCGGCGTAAAACTAAACTCACTCACTATATCACCGTGGTACCCGATGCATATTAGCGATAAACTGCTCGGATATGTTCGAGGCTTGGTCTCCGCGGAGTTGGCGAGTTATTCATGTAAGACAATCTCCTGGGAGGAGACCGACCGAGTCTTTGCGTGGGAGTAAAAACATTGCATGCAGTACCAGACTTATATGAAAAGGATTTGGTGCAGCGTTCATGCCCAGAATAAGTGAGTGAGTGGAGTGACTGAGAAAATGCCAGCAATATCACGTTACCACAAAACCGATTAATATCTGTTGTGTTGGTAGGCATTCGACAAATCAAGCGATTTGTTGTACACTCATCATAAGGTGGTGGTGCCTCATAACGTGGTCTTTCTGGTGTACCCCGCCGTGATGTTGCTGGAATATTGCTAAAAGCGGCGTAAATCCAAACTCAGTCAGTCAGTCATAACGTGGTCTTGCGTGTAAATGAGGCAAGTAAATGACAACGGGCACGAATGGAATCATTCATGGACAAAGCAATTTCAATCCGTCTCAATTTCTGACCAATGGTGTTCTTTAAGACAAGTGCAGTTTTTGATGTCTTTATGTCATGTATTCTTCAAATTCAAAGCATTAAAAAGAAGAAACAGAAAACAAAAAAAAAAAAAAAATGCTTCTTGGTGATGTAATGTGTAATGTGGTTTAACGTCGAGTTCAATGAGGTTCACATTGTGAATGTGAGTGGCAGTCTTGCTTCCTGCTGGCGTTTGTCGACCGTGGCATTGTGAATGTTAATGACAGCCTTGCTTCCTGCTGGCGTTTGTCAACTGTGGCATTGTGCATGTGAATCACAGTCTTGCTTCCTACTGGCATTGTGAATGTGAATGACAGCCTTGCTTCCTGCTGGCGTTTGTCAACTGTGGCATTGTGAAGGTCAATGACTGTGCTTCATGCTGGCGCATGTGAATATGAATGGCGCCGCTTTTGGCGTTTGTCAACTGTGCTGATATAGGACCAAAGTTTACATTCATCCTACTGTCTTATCATCAGAGATGTTCCAAGTTTCATCGATATATTCCGCTTCTCTGCGTTTTGAAAACATGAGGTTGGAACCCAGCCATCGGAGATGTGCTGATATAGGACCAAAGTTTACATTAATAACAGTTTGAACAGATGCCAAAAGCCGTAAAACGTACTTAGTAACACAAAACCAGTATATACAGCGACGTACATGCACGTGAGTATGAGTGTGTCTGATATTTCAGGAAACTTTAACATTGTCGGCCAAATAAGTATTGTTACAGCTTGAGTGAGTTGGTGAGTTTAGTTTTACGTCGCACTCAGCATTATCGCAGCTATATGGCGGCGGTCTGTAAATAATCAAGTCTGAACCAGACAATTCAGTGATCGACAGCATGAACATCGATCTACGGAATAGGGTATATGATTACATGTGTCAACCAAATCAGAGAGTCTGACCACTCGATCCCGTTAGCTGCCTCTTATGGGTTACTAAAGATCAATTCTAACCCGGATCTTCACAGGTCTGTTACAGCTTGATGAATAACACGCTCCCTCGCCTATTCAAGCAGAGTTCCTACAGCTCCTAATCCAAACGACTCACTTGAACCATAATGAATTTCAGACCGGTTCCAAATGTACAGTATCTATCAAAGGTAAGTTCTCAATATCACTATCGTCTTTCAAAGGACAATACAACTATATAACATGCTCTACTGCAGCTCACGAATACCCTTTGATGTGCTATGGATGTTAGGCTTTTTGAATGTAATGAAACTTATAGATTTATCTTCGGCCTTCAAAAACATCCAATAACGTCATGTTTGTCATAAGAGCAGACCTCATGAATAGTGCTGACGGCAGGTGTTGGACGTTCCCCTTACTTCTCAACTCCTGCGCTGTTTGATACTTACTATTGATTAATACATGTGGGACTGATCAAAACATTTTAGTATCTCATCATTGCTTTAACGCTTCGCCCGGCATCAGCCAGAAGAGACTTTACTTCAGGCTCTGAAGAAATGGGTACAGTTGCTATCGTAACATTGGTATTTATTTCATATTGTTTCACCACGTGTAAGAGTGATAAACTGGGACTGTTATCAGATGATGCTGTTCAAGATAAAATCCTCTCTGGTGTAGTATTTGAAGTGTTTTCCAAGACGACCCTGATACAATGCAGCAGGCTGTGCCTCTATTCATCAAGATGTGTTTCGGCAAACTGGATCACAAGGGCTAAAGAATGTCAACTGAATTCACGTGGTGGTGACGAGCAATCTTTACAGGTGTCTCACTCTAATATTTACCTGGCTGTTCACGTCAATCCTTTACAGGTAAGAATGATACTTGTTAAATGTCACTCGGACATCTGCCTCTCATATCGTTGATTGTTATACAAGAATATTTAGTGATCATATTTGTTCAGTAGGTTTCGGTATTATTACGTTCATTTGGTCTAAATACTTGTAATTCAAATTATCGATAGCTATCCCATTTTCAGGTTATTTTATTTGTGATTCAAATAACTTAGGTGAAATATTTCTGGAACAATAAGATCACCTGTCGCTTTAAAGTTAATTTCAGTACACCAGTGTCCCATGACTGACTTTCGAAAAGGATTGATTAATTGTTTGTTGTTTAACGCCGCACTCAGCAATATTCCAGCTATATGGCGGCAAACTGTAAATGATCGAGTCTGGACCAGACAATCCAGTGATCAATATCATGAGCATCGATCTACGCAATTGCAGAAGCCCTCGGTCTTTTCAACTGCTCTCCTTCGTCGAGCAGTTAATGAAAGACTGCTGCTGCAAATGATAATGCCCTGAAAAATAGCGTCACCCTTATATTATTAGTGTAATGGTGCGCCTCTAAGGTAAATCATTACGAATCGGTTAAATGGGGGGATAGAAAGTAACTCTATAACTGTAAAAATGCTATTGAGCTTGCGATACAGGAATACGAAGACAGACAGACAGACAGGTTTATTAAAGTCTCACTCGTAGTACATATAAAACATATATAACTTCATATATATTCATTATAAATAAAATATGCTACGACCAGTCGCTCAGCGACTTATGAGAGACATCTTAAGCATTATTAAAACAAAATATTCATAAAAAATATATTTACAAAATACAGCTATATAAAATGGTCATGTAAATTAGCCATATAAAATTTCAGTCTTTTAACTAAACTATCGTGGCAGGTTTTGGCAACGCTAAACACTACATCGAGGGAAGTAAATATATATGAAAGCCTTTCATGGCATGATAAATCTTTAAAATGAACGTTATTAAGAGCACATTTTTGCATAAGATCTTTTCTGATATAGTTCAAAGCTGGACATATAAATAAAACATGGGTTTCATCCTCGACTACATTTTGGCAGTTAAAACAAAATCTCTCGTTGTGCGGTATATTTTCATATCTTCCCGTTTCAGCTCTTAGTGGGGCAACTCCACATCTGAACTTTGCTAAAGAACTTCTGTGACCTCGGGGAAGCGGATACTTAACATACTGTTCTGTTTCATATTTTGTTGTAAAAAGTCTATAGTTTCTCAATTTGTTTCCTCCTCGTCTTCTCCCTTCATCATACATCTTCTCTCTCCATCCTTGTTTGTATGCCGTATACATTGCTTCTTGCACGTTCGTGGTGAATAGCTTCTTTTCCAGGTGGTGTTCGATATCTGTAAGGTGTTCGAATCCAAGGGATTCAAAATGGGTTCTGACATTAAAATTCCAGTTTTTCTTTTTGCTATTGTTCGCCATTACAAATATCCTATTATTCAGTCTTCTCCTTGTTGTATTAACGCATCTTATCCAATGTCTTAGCACAGATGTCTAATTCCTCACTTTTGGGGGAACCCATCCCATCTCTCCATTTATAGTTGCGTTGGGTGCATATTTTCCTAGACCTAGAAAAAATCTAATTGCTCTATGATGAACTGCGTTGATGCATGAGTATTCTGTTGTTCCCCATATTGCAGCGCCATAACTTATTACTGAAAAGACCATGGTGTCATAGAGCTTCGTAAACACGTTATGGGGCATTCCTCCTAGAGCCTTAAACTTTGAGATGAGCAGTCCCAGTGATCTGTTGGCTGACCTGGCTGCAGATTTGGCCATGGCGTTATAGTCCAGATGCTGATGTAAAAATTGTACTTGTTTTACTTTTTGAAGGAACTCTAAAATGAACCACCTTTGACTTTTCTGGGTTGACAGTCATCTTGTTTACTCCACACCATATATTTACTTCATCCAATAAACACTGAAGGTCTTCTGCATTCTCAGCGAGTAGTACGATATCATCAGCATAAGCCAATACTGATACATGTTCTTCACCGAACTTTATCCCCCTTCCTAATGCATTTTTACGAATGACATTCACTGTAACCAAATGACTGTCCAGAATAATAGTTTACATCACATATATTTTAGCGTCACACTTCGCCTTCGTTGTGACGGAGCAAGCTCCCCGATCACGTGGCTACTGAAGCGCCTTTGGGGATGATTTGACATTATGCTTGTTTGTTGTTTAACGACACACTCAGCAATATTCCAGCTATATGGGTCTTGTCCAGACTCGATTATTTACAGACCGCCGCCATATAGCTGGAATATTGCTGAGTGCAAGAGAGATTGAAAATCCTTTCCTGTTTGGGTTTACTGGATGGATTTGAAGACCAATTTGAAGCCGGATCTTCACGGGAATAGATACTTGTAGGTCCTTTCCTTTCTGGTGGGTGGATCCTTTCCCTCGTAAATGTGCCATTGAGGAACAATTTTCCATGCAACAATAGTTAAAATTAACAAGTGTACGTAGTGTTTCCACACAATAGCCACAGGAGTTAGAATAATGCGCGCAAAGGTAATTCCTTCTCTTCAGATGTCTTTCTCAAGAACACACTGTACTGAAAACACGTCAAGTGCACGGTAAAGCACAAAGAAAAGGGATGTTGTTCTTGAGTGCTGTATTTTCCCTCATTTCCGCACTAGATATGTTCTTAATGTAAAACACCAGCAGTCCACTAATGGTCCACTCTACCGGAGCATGACCTCGAGTTGAGGATAAACCATCGACACTGGCAAGGTGTGGTAAGAAACCACTCATTAGGAACGTGTGGTCAGACTCAATGATTTGGGTGATTTCGATCGTACTTCGACGGCGTGAGACATTGGTTTAAACATATTTTATTCTATTCAGGAAGAAGGAAAAGGATTGGCAAACAAGCCTAAATGGCTTATATTAATGCCGCTCCATAATACATGTCAAGGTTCAAATTTGTGCATAATGTTGTACATATTTATAGTGGTTATATCAAGTTACCTCTGAATAATAACAATCATGGATATCAACCATTTATCTTGGTTTTGTTTCGTGGCCAGTTGATACAAATAAAAAATAAGAGAAGCTACAAATCTTTATGAATCAAAACGTTTTGATGTAATAATGAATTGAAGGACTGACCATAGAATATCCATATTCGTGAGACATTGATAATAAACTCAGCCAGTGGTTTGTCTAGCTCGAATATTCCCAGGGGCGGCGGGGTAGACTTGTAGTTAAAGCGCCCGCTCGTCACGCCGAAGACCCGGGTCCTATTGCCCACATGGGTACAATGTGTGAAGCCCATTTCTGGTGTCCCCGCTGTGATATTTCTGGGATATTGCTAAAAGCGGCGCAAAACCATACTCACTCGAATCTTCACAAGCCTTCTTGTGCAGTAAGAAAGGTGCTTGTGTAGCATTACAAACCTACAAATGTAAAATTGTGCTTCAGAAAGAAGGTGAGCATCAGCTACACTGAGATCTAATTATGATTCATTGCTCTACTTCAACAACAACAAACAATACCCTTGTTCAAACAAGCGACACGTCAACAACAACGAACAATACCCTTGTTCAAACAAGCGACACGTCAACAACAATTAACAATAACTTTGCTCAAGCTAGCGACACTTCAACAACAGCTAACAGTAACACTGTTCAAACAAGCGACACTTCAACAACAGCTAACAGTAACCTCGTTCAAACAAGCGACACGTCAACAACAGCTACAGGTTTTGAAGTATTTCAGATTTTCACCTCAACCAACATCGTATCGGAGATTAAAATCTCAATTAAATTAACCAGTCATACATAAGCGGTGAAGCTTGTGCCCAAACACTCGATCCATATTCCAAACAGTGCTAATGGCCCAGTGTTTGGAGTCCCCATGATGTAGTATAACTTGTGGTTATGTTTCAGCCGATGGCTCATGTTCAGGGGACTCTGACTGCAGTGCATTTCCGACTACAAGTTGCCATGCTGGTTTCTGTACATGTGGTATAGGATACGATCTGGATGTTGCTAGAGCAGTTTGCAGGGACTTAAGAGGTATCGTTGCATTACTTTACAGTATTTGGAGGATCGGTGTCATAAGCACATTCTTAAGATTCCATTTACTGACTTGTTTTTTACTCGGTGAGATTATGGCCCTAACGGTCGGATTCACCATGTTCAGTAGAACAGAACAGTACTTTAGTGGAAGCCGAGGTGGCTGAGTGGGTAGATGGCTGACACTGTGTTCTTGCGATTGGGTGCCTGACTCTGAGAGCGTGACTACCAATCCCTGACCAACAAAATCACTGGAATCAGTACTTTACTGAGAAAGTGTAAACCCAAATCTAGCATATGTTACATTTGACCACTTTCTGAATGACATTGTGTATTCACTGTGTATTCAGAACATGGTTGAAACGCATCCCCTGATTTATCGGGTACTGTTGATAATACAATATTGGTAATATGATAAACCCCGAAACCCCGAAATACAAAGAAAGCTAACAAGCAATGAATTTGTTAGATGTTAAACGCCACACTCAGCATTATTCAGGGACGGGTTATTTGCACATCAGTTCTTAATGACGTTTGTGAGATAGTCGATGATCACACAGTGTCTAACAAACAATCCATCGTTGTTTCAGAGTGTACCACCTTCGGAACAGAATACATCCATTTCCCAGGACAGGTTATTTGGAGAGAAGATATAGAGTCAAACCCCTCCTCATATCCTGTAGCACAATGTGTTCAATTATGCAATGAAGCTTCAACGTATGTATGTAGATCATTTGAAACAGACACCAGACTCAACGGGTGCTACACTCAGACAATGACGTGGCTTGATGCTACTGAGGACAAACATACCTACACAGACCGTTTTGATCACTACCAACGAAAGTGCATCTGGGGGGTCATATAGAACATGTCGCTTCTGACAATTACATGCATGCTGTATCTGATGAAATGATACATAGAAGGCCATGTGTCCAGTTCCCTTCTCAGTGCCCCTGTTTCTAGTTACGGCTGACATACATTATCTTAAGGTTTGTCCTAAGTCTCATCAAGTTGACAATATCAGCTTTATCGGTTAATCATTAATCTTCGTTACACAGAAGATTTTGAACCTTAGCTCTTGTTTTTGTATCATAAAGGATAATGTATGTGGGGAAAAGATTTTGGGGTTATAGTTCGTCCCAGATTGACGATTAGTTTACTCAAATGCACGTTCTGCCATGGACTTTGTAATTGAATTTGTTTCTACATTTTATGACTTTCAACATTACCTGTATACTACACAGATATGACTGTTGGGAACATGTTGCTGATGTTTAAAATCGTGTATTGATAAGTTTAGTTTATCAGGATACCGTCTCTACACTATGTGAGTGAGTGAGTGAGTGAGTGAGTGAGTGAGTTTAGTTTTACGCCGCTACCCTATGTAGCTGATCTATTACGGTAAACGTTCACTGGACATTTCTTTGAGTCACATTTATGTATGATGAACAGGAATTATTCTTATTGCAATGGATGCAACGTTTGGAATAAAGAAGTTGTCTATCCATACATAATCGTTCTTGTTTACATTGGACAGTTGAGTCAAGGTGACTTGACTGAAGGCCTCTCACTTGACGCATGGGTGTCCTGCTCGGGTGTCCTGCTCGGGTGTCCTGCTCGGGTGTCCTGCTCGGGTGTCCTGCTCGGGTGTCTTGCGCGGAGAAATCTGGATTCTCGAGGGAATGTTGTAGTTTCATGACTTCGATCCTTCTTATAATATAACATCTTCAATGTTTGAAGATTGTGCGTAATCAATAGTGAACAATGCATTAAGTATGGTGAACACGTATTTGGGAAGCACATTTAGAGTTCACACAAACAAAATCACCAAAACTGGTACCATTAAGATACCCCAAAGTCAGTATTGTGTATGGCATCTGTGGGCACCAATGAAAGCGTTAAATCGTCTTTATATGGAATGAATGAGCCGTTTGATGTAGGCACTTGGGTTGCTACTCTGCGAAATGCCTGATCGAGTCCAGCAGCTGTTGTCGGCCTTGGATGGAGGTCATTCAGTCTTCTTTGAATCTCGTCCCAAAGGTGTTTTATTTGACTAAAATCCGGTTTGAGCGCAGGTTATTGTTGGGTTTGGATGCCATGTTGTCTTAGGAAGTCCAATGTTACTCTAGCAGTGTGGGCATGAGCGTTGTCTTGCTGGAAGATGTGATTTCTGTAACGTCCAAAATGTGGTACAACGTGGGGTCTTATGACTTGGTCAAAATAGCGAGCAGCTGTCACGTCATTTCCTCATCCTGGACCGAGATTCTGGAAGACCATGGGGTCAACTAACTGGTTCAGACCGATTGCACCCAACCATGATGCTTGGACCACCCCACGAGTCTCTTTCAACAATACATTCATTGGAAAACACTTCCCCACGCCTTCACCACATTCTCACTCTGCCATCGAATGTCGAAACACAGTATCGGCTTTCATGAGAACACAGCACGGTTCTCCATCGTTGATAACGCCAATTCCGTCATGATTAAATGAATAAATATGTTTAAACCATAACGCCAATTTCGATGCTGAGTTGCCTATTGCAGTCGGTTTTGGTCTACGATATGGTCTGAGACAGTAGAGGTCTCTTCCGCGCAAACGTCGACGCACTGTATCGGCACTGATGGGTCTGTTGTAAGCGATCCTGCAGATGGTGGCGCACAATCTGTCGGTCTTGGCGTTATGATGTTACTGAAGGTCGCCAACTGCGTGGACGGTCTTCGATGCTGTTAGTAACCTGATACCGCTCCTGCAGTCGATAGATTGTACTAACATGAATATTAAAATGATTGGCTTCTCTCGGTGCAGACTGGCCAACTTGCAATCGTCCAAAGACTTGGTTCCTCTGATCTCTCGTAGGTCGTGTCATCGCGATTATGTCAAAACATAAATGATTTCAGGCGAGTTTGGGACTCGCTTTTATGTTTAGGGTTGTCACAATATGCACGTGCATTTTCATGAATGTCACACGGAACCTTTTACCACGTCTGCCTCTTTAGGTGCGTTTGGTGGAAATGCTTTTTCATCAGAAAACACACTGATGTTGATAGTAACTGTCAGTTTGGATTGAAAAACATGTTAACAAAACGATACAATCATAATAAAACACCATTTCGTTATTGCATTTGGTTTTGAAAGGCGACGTTTCTTTTGTGGTTCAGTATATATTCTAAAACGACAGTCCTCTTCCACGTTTTTTGGCCAACGTGTTTTTGGCTGTCCAAAATTTGTCGACCTGAAATTGGTTCTGCCTGTGGCCTTATTCATATGGTTGTAGTACCTTCTTGATTTAAACAGTATTTTATTTCCATTAATGTTTACATTTTTCATAATACTCGACATAACAAAAGGGAAATAGGATTAGCAAACAGGCCATATGGACTATGTCAATGCTTCTCCGCATATAATTCGTTATTATCTTGACTTAATTCTATGGAGCAGACATTAGGACATTAATGAATGAATCAAAACAAAATAAAAATAAAGAAAAGAAAATAAAGAAGAAGATACCAAGTGCATTTTATGTTTATAGGTTGTTACTTGAATTTTGGAAAGCGGTTAGTTTCAGTTATATAATTCTGTACGGATTTTATAAGGTTTTCTTTGTCTAAAGGAGATAAATCGTCATTGCCGTGAAGTATAGTATATATGCTGAGGTGGTTAAGGACAAAGTATTTGTCGAGTCTAAACTCGGCATAGCGGGGACATGACAGAAAAAAATAGATAGCATCTTCTCTGTTGTGGCCACATGAACAAGTGGGATCATCAATCAGGAATCTGTAAAATAAGTGTGCTTTTAAATCACTACAACCTAGCCTAATTCTGAATAGGATCACTTGGTATTGTCGCTGGCCATAACTAGCAATGTATATAAAATTTGAAGAAATCTGAATGTCTGTGGAAATCAATTGTTTAAACCTAGATAGGGAATCTACATTTCTGATATCGATATCAAGTGAATTCCATGCTTTAACAACATAAGGCAGGAAAGATCGGTTATACTGGGATAAGCGCCCTGCATTTGTCTGAAAGTCGTTGGAGTTACGAAGGTTGTATCCTGTTATGCTGGAGATACTAGGTGGGACCCATAATGATAGGTATTTAGGAGTCAGCCCATTGACCATTTTGTAATATATACATAATTTATGATAATGTCGTCTGTCAGACAATGAGCAATAACCCGTTTCCCTGTAAAGTTTTTCGTGACTAGTTCCTCGTACTGCTCCACATATTGTACCTTCTTGAACTCTGTCTAAATATGGCACAAGTTTAAATATAGCACATCACTCAATATATAACAATAACACAAAATATTGGCCATACTCGTTGATTGTAGGGCAACGACTGATGAAAGGCCACGTTTCCTCAGCTTCATACCCATAAATTGCTTCAGACGTGCAACAGAATATGCTCCATTTAACTCCATTTAATGTTTTTCCACCATGATGACACTCGCGGTATCCCACAACACGGATGTCATCAATTCTGTGGAGTGTATATGGATCATATACTTTGCAAAAAGTAACTTTAGGCTTTAATGTTTGAACTTTCGCGCACAGCAATAAGTACGTACATGTAAGCTTTAATATTCTATGCATTCCTGAAAGCCGCAGTACACACAGAATAACAGCCAATAGAACAGTATTTTTCTATGATATTGCTTCCCACGGAAAGAACCTACAAAGGGAATATATACAGTTGAGCACCGTTGTCTCGATATTCATGGGACCAAGAAAAAATATCGAGTTATCCGAACTTCGAGACATCCGACCAGGGCATATCATCACACATCATTATGAAAGAAAACACAACAAAAAGTAGATTTTATGTCTTTTTATTTCATGTACTTACTATTTACTCACGGGGATCGCAGCTTATGTTATAGTGTCCATCTTGAATTATACATAGGTTGGATTTATTCAACGGACGAACGGAGTTCTGAAAGTTTAGGTTGACGGGTATTTGGTGGTGGCATGAAAGCGAAAGCGATAGTAGCTAACCACTCTCGATACAATACAATAGCTTTCAAATTGACTCCTAATTCATGTTATCAGTCCACAATTTAGAAACAACTCAACAATCACATGCTAGTCACGTGTTTGCACAAAACCCTCATTGGATAATCTGTTATCAGTAGTGTTTAGTTGTAACAGTAGTACTTCCTAATTAATTACTTCTTAGTTAATCTTAATTAAATAACAAACAAGTGACACCTTCAACTCAATTAACCCTAATTAGTTTACGCTACCGCATCCCTTTAATTCAGGACTCATGGTGTGTAAACGTGAGTAAACAACCTTAGTTCAGGGGGATACTTGCCTATGAAAGGTAGGTGAATATCGAGTTTCTTTGCAAATATCGAGTTAAAAGGGTAATTTTACTTGTTGGGACCATGAAATTATATCGAGATATCCGAAATATCGAGACATCCGTATCGAGTTTAAAAAGCTTGAATAATGATAAATTATGATGGATTTTGCCGGGACTGAGATGTTATATATCGAGACAACCGACATATCGAGTTATCAGAGATCGACGCAACGGTGCTCGACTGTATATCCATTTACATATTATCACGAGACTTGCTGTGTCTGGTACGCTATGTATCAGATATCAGAAGCTTGATACCCAGTATTCTAAACATTTGCTCATTGTGAACGTTTCTGTTGTAATGCAATAGAATCTCCTTTGGGAAACTTACAAATTCTTTAGCCGGGGATTAATCTCCACATCGTGGATCCTTGCCAATGCTTTAAAAAGTCCCCTGATAACAGTCTCTCGGTGCCATAGCAAAAGGCATCTTTTCTTTGTGGATTACTGACACTGGGTAGCTTTTGCTGTGGCGTAACGACTGTTTTTCGAGCTCAGAGCATCTTATTAGATATACCATTTAGTGAATTGGGATACCCCAAAAGGGCTTCTTCACTTAAGTTGCATACGTGGGGAAATGAACCCAGGCTTGCGTGCGAAAGCTATCCTTATCTTAGTTTAACCCTTTGTTAAAACAGTGCACGCAATTGCAAAAATACATTTAAAGCCTATTGCAAGTAAATCTTACATGAGGATGTTCTAGGAACAAGCAGACGTCATCAAAATAATATTCTGATGTTTGGCCGATTTGTCTGCCGTACCCTCAGTGCAGCCTTGTGTTTTTCCTGCAAGAAAACTAATCGGAAGCAAACGAAACCAAAAACATTGGAATATCCCCCAGGTTAGACACCTTGAAGAGCCGCAGTCCTATCAATATTCATCATCGACGCAAGGAGTGGCTTATCGTGTCCTATTTCAAACGTTTCTTTTAACGCCACACTGGGCAGTGATACAGTAATTACAGTTGTTTGACAGTAATCGATCGACTCAGATAACCTTTTAATAGATGTGACGTTAAATATTAACTCACTCACTCATTTCTGGTACCCCCCGCTGTGATATTGCTAGGATATTGCTAAAAGCGGCGCAAAACCATACTCACTCGAATATTCACAATCCACCTCGGGCAGTAAGAAAGGTTGCTGGTCTAGCATTACAAATCTACAAATGTAAAATTGTTCTTCAGAAAGAAGGTGAGCATCAGCTACACTGAGATCTAATTATGATTCATTGCTCTGCTTCTCCAACAGGCTCATCCTTGTTCACATCATCCTTGCACTGTCGAGGACATCTGTGTCCCAGTGATGGGATCTACATCACACATATGCCTGCGGACTGCTCCATCTGACCAGCAAATATCAACTGTTTCAAGTGTCCTTTCCATCACTACTACCGGTGACCCTGAATCTAGTATCGAGGCTTCCATCACCCATACTAGTCAGGACACCGTTCAAACAAGCGAGACTTCCACAACAGCTAACAATACCCTTGTTCAAGCTAGCGATTCTTCAACAACTGCTTACAGTAACTTCGTTCAAACAAGCGACATGTCAACAACAGCTAACAGTTACACTGCTCAAGCAACCGACACGTCAACAACAGCTAACAGTAACACTGTTCAAACAAGCGACACTTCAACAACAGCTAACAGTTACCTTGTTCAAACAAGCGACACGTCAACAACAGCTAACAGCAACACTGTTACAAGCAAGCGACACTTCAAAACAAGCTACACGTTCAAACAAGCGACACGTCAACAACAGCTAACAGCAACACTGTACAAGCAAGCGACACTTCAACAACAGCTAACAGTTACCTTGTTCAAACAAGCGACACGTCAACAACAGCTAACAGTAACACTGTACAAACAAGCGACACTTCAACAACAGCTTACAGTAACACTGTTCAAACAAGCGACACGTCAACAACAGCTAACAGTAACACTGTTCAAACAAGCGACACGACAACAACAGCTAACAGTAACACTGTACAAACAAGCGACACTTCAACAACAGCTAACAGTAACACTGTTCAAACAAGCGACACTTCAACAACAGCAAACAGTAACACTGTTCAAACAAGCCGACACTTCAACAACAGCTAACAGTAACACTGTTCAAACAAGCGACACTTCAACAACAGCTAACAGTAACACTGTTCAAACAAGCGACACTTCAACAACAGCTAACAGTAACACTGTTCAAACAAGCGACACGTCAACAACAGCTAACAGTAACCTCGTTCAAACAAGCGACACTTCAACAACAGCTAACAGTAACACTGTTCAAACAAGCGACACGTCAACAACAGCTACAGGTAGCATTTTAGAAGTATTTCAGATTTTCACCTCAACCAACATCGTATCGGAGATTAAAATCTCATTGAAATTAACCAGTCATACATAAGCGGTGAAGCTTGTGCCCAAACACTCGATCCATATTCCAAACAGTGCTAATGGCCCAGTGTTTGGAGTCCCCATGATGTAGTATAACTTGTGGTTATGTTTCAGCCGATGGCTCATGTTCAGGGGACTCTGACTGCAGTGCATTTCCGACTACAAGTTGCCATGCTGGTTTCTGTACATGTGGTATAGGATACGATCTGGATGTTGCTAGAGCAGTTTGCAGGGACTTAAGAGGTATCGTTGCATTACTTTACAGTATTTGGAGGATTGGTGTCATAAGCACATTCTTAAGATTCCATTTGCTGACTTGTCTTTTACTCGGTGAGATTATGGCCCTTACAGTCGGATTCACCATGTTCAGTAGAACAGAACAGTACTTTAGTGGAAGCCGAGGTGGCTGAGTGGGTAGATGGCTGACACTGTGTTCTTGCGATTGGGTGCCTGACTCTGAGAGCGTGACTACCAATCCCTGACCAACAAAATCACTGGAATCAGATTATGAGATTATGGCCCTTACAGTCGGATTCACCATGTTCAGTAGAACAGAACAGTACTTTAGTGGAAGCCGAGGTGGCTAAGTGGGTTAGATGGCGTGACTACCAATCGCTGACCAACAAAATCACTGGAAAAGTGTAAACCCAAATCTAGCATGTGTTACATTTGACCACTTTCTAAATGACATTGTGTATTCACTGTGTATTCAGAGCAGATATATGGTTAAAATGCATCCCCTGATTTATCGGGTACTGATGATAATACAATATTGGTAATATGATAAACCCCGAAACCCCGAAATACAAAGAAAGCTAACAAGCAATGGATTTGTTAGATGTTTAACGCCGCACTCAGCATTATTCAGGGACGGGTTACTTGCACATCAGTTCTTAATGACGTTTGTGAGATAGTCGATGATCACACAGTGTCTAACAAACAATCCATCGTTGTTTCAGAGTGTACCACCTTCGGAACAGAATACATCCATTTCCCAGGACAGGTTATTTGGAGAGAAGATATAGAGTCAAACCCCTCCTCATATCCTGTAGCACAATGTGTTCAATTATGCAATGAAGCTTCAACAGACACCAGACTCAACGGGTGCTACACTCAGACAATGACGTGGCTTGATGCTACTGAGGACAAACATACCTACACAGACCGTTTTGATCACTACCAACGAAAGTTCATCTGGGGGTTCATATAGAACACGTCGCTTCTGACAATTACATGCATGCTTTATCTGATGAAATGATACATAGAAGGTCATGTGTCCAGTTCCCTTCTCAGTGCCCCTGTTTCTAGTTACGGCTGACATACATCAGCTTAATGTTTGTCCTAAGTCTCATCAAGTTGACAATATCAGCTTTATCGGTTAATCATTAATCTTCGTTACACAGACGATTTTGAACCTTAGCTCTTGTTTTTGTATCATGCAGGATAATGTATGTGGGGAAAAGATTTTGGGGTTATAGTTCGTCCCAGATTGACGATTAGTTTACTCAAATGCACGTTCTGCCATGGACTTTGTAATTGAATTTGTTTCTACATTTTATGACTTTCAACATTACCTGTATACTACACAGATATGACTGTTGGGAACATGTTGCTGATGTTTAAAATCGTGTATTGATAAGTTTAGTTTATCAGGATACCGTCTCTACACTATGTGAGTGAGTGAGTAAGTGAGTGAGTGAGTTTAATTTTACGCCGCTACCCTACGTAGTTGATCTATTACGGTAAACGTTCACTGGACATTTCTTTGAGTCACATTTATATATGATGAACAGGAATTATTCTTATTGCAATGGATGCAACGTTTGGAATAAAGACGTTGTCTATCCATACATAATCGTTTTTGTTTACATTAGACAGTTGAGTCAAGGTGTCTTGACTGAAGGCCTCTCACTTGACGCATGGGTGTCCTGCTCGGGTGTCCTGCTCGGGTGTCCTGCGCGGAGAAATCTGGATTCTCGAGGGAATGTTGTAGTTTCATGACTTCGGTACTTCTTATAATATAACATTTTCAATGTTTGAAGATTGCGCGTAATCAATAGTGAGTGAGTGGAGGGACTGAGAAAATGTTTATGCAATATTCCAGAAATATCGCGTTTACCACAAAGCCGATTAATATCTGTTGTGTTGGTAGGCTTTCAACAAATCAAGCGATTGGTTGTACAGAGATCATAAGATGGTGGTGCCTCATAACGTGATCTTTCTGGTGTCCACCCACACCCCCACTAACCCACCCCCACCCCCCATCCCCCGTGATGTTGCTGGAATATTGCTAAAAGCGGCGTAAATCAAAACTCAGTCAGTCAGTCATAACGTGGTCTTTCTGGTGTCCCCCACCGTGATGTTGCTGGAATATTGCTAAAAGCGGCGTAAAACCAAACTCAGTCAGTCAGTCATAACGTGATCTTGCGTGTAAATGAGGCAAGTAAATGACTACGGGCACAAAAGGAATCATTCATGCACAAAGCAATTTCAATGCGTCTCAATTTCTGACCAATGGTGTTCTTTAAGATAAGTGCAGTTTTTTATGTGTTTATGTCATGTATTCTTCAAATTCAAAACGTTAAAAAGAAGAAACAAACAACAACAAAAAATGCTTCTTGGTGATGTAATGTGTAATGTGGTTTAACGTCGAGTTCAATGAAGTTCACATCACTTATACTGAGAGGCAGGAATAACGCTTATCAGGACAATAGCAACGGCTTTTTAACTTTATGGTACCGTGGTAATGTGAATGTGAATGACAGCCATGCTTCCAGCTGACTTGACTGTATTCATTTTTCCATCACAAGGGATAAAGATTTCAATATCAAAACAGTTAAAGATCTTTTTTATGTTAATTATCATTTAATAATTGAATTTTTAAAGGAGATAGAATTATTAGATAACTTTTGAATCATATGTTTTGTAAATATATAAATGGTATTTTAACAGCCTTGCTTCCTACTGGCGTTTGTCAACTGATGAACTTGATGAATAACACGCTCCCTCGCCTATTCAAGCAGAGTTCCTACAGCTCCTAATCCACACGACTCACTTGAACGATAATGAATTTCAGACCGGTTTCAAATGTACAGTATCCATCAAAGGTAGTTCTCAATATCACTATCGTCTTTCAAAGGACAATACAACTATATAACATGCTCTACTGCAGCTCACGAATACCCTTTGATGTGCTATGGATGTTAGGCTGTTTGCGTGTAATGATACTTATAGATTTATCTTCGGTCTTCAAAAACATCAAAATAACGTCATGTTTGTCATAAGAGCAGACCTCATGAATAGTGCTGACTGCAGGTGTTGGACGGTCCCCTTACTTCTCAACCCCTGTGTTTGATGCTTACTACTGATTAATACATGTGGGACTGATCAAAACGTTTTAGTATCTCATCATTGCTTTAAAGCTTCGCCCGGCATCAGCCAGAAGAGACTTTACTTCAGGCTCTAAAGAAATGGGTACAGTTGCTATCGTAACATTGGTATTTATTTCATATTGTTTCACCACGTGTAAGAGTGATAAACTGGGACTGTTATCAGATAATGCTGTTCAAGATAAAATCCTCTCTGGTGCAGTATTTGAAGTGTTTTCCAAGACGACCCTGATACAATGCAGCAGGCTGTGCCTCTATTCATCAAGATGTGTTTCGGCAAACTGGATCACAAGGGCTAAAGAATGTCAACTGAATTCACGTGGTGGTGACGAGCAATCTTTACAGGTGTCTCACTCTAATATTTACCTGGCTGTTCACGTCAATCCTTTACAGGTAAGAATGATACTTGTTAGATGTCACTCGGACATCTGCCTCTCATGTCTTATCTGCCTCTCATGTCTGACCGCCACCATATAAGCTGGAATATTGCTGAGTGCAAGAGAGATTGAAAATCCTTTTCCGTTTGGGTTTACTGGATGGATTTGAAGACCAATTTGAAGCCGGATCTTCACGGGAATAGATACTTGTAGGTCCTTTCCTTTCTGGTGGGTGGATCCTTTCCCTCGTAAATGTGCCATTGAGGAACAATGTTACATGCAACAATAGTTAAGATTAATAAGTGTACGTAGTGTTTCCACACAACAGCCACAAGAGTTAGAATAATGCGCGCAAAGGTAATGTCTGCGATTCAAATGTCCTTCTCGAGAACACACTGTACTGAAAACACGTCAAGTGCACGGTAAAGCACAAAGAAAAGGGATGTTATTCTTGAGTGCTGTATTTTCCCTCATTTCCGCACAAGATATGTTCTTAATGTAAAACACCAGTCCACTAATGGTCCACTCCACCGGAGCATGACCTCGAGTTGAGGATAAACCATCTACACTGGCAAGGTGTGGTAAGAAACGACTCATTAGGAACGTGTGGTCAGACTCAATGATTTGGGGTGATTTCGATCGTACTTCGACGGCGTGGGACATTGATAATAAACTCAGCCACTGGTTTGTCTGGCTCGAATATTCACAGGGGCGGCGGGGTAGACTAGTAGTTAAAGCGCCCGCTCGTCACGCCGAAGACCCGGGTCCGATTGCCCACATGGGTACAATGTGTGAAGCCCATTTCTGGTGTTGTACCCTCAAATGGGGGGTGAAGTAGCGTAAAGTTATTGTCCTCCTGAGAGGGTACGTAAGTCCTGAAACATTCAAAGGACATTTAAGTTTACCAGCTGTTTTAAATGTAGTTTTCTTGTCATTTTAATTTTGGCTCAATTTGACTTCAATCGCCAGCGGCTGAAGGATGATATAAATCCAGCTAGGGTCCATGCAGGTAGCAAAAGTAATGTAAGTGCCCATGGTCCCTAAGTTGGTGATCTACCTTCAGTTGTTGGCGATCTATAGCCAGTTTTTATATTGTAATTGTCCAAATAGTGTTATTAGTTTTAACTTTCCAAACTAGTTTTAGTTGTAATTGTGATATTCTAGTTGTCTTACTGTCCTTCGTAGACAGGTTTTTAACATATACATATATTCTATTTAAATGTCAAACATGTTCTCGTCACGGTATGGCTGAGATATTGTCGATGAGACGTTAAATATTAACTCACTCACTCACTCATTTCTGGTGTCCACCGCTGAGATATTGCTGGAATATTGCTAAAAGCGGCGCAAAACCATACTCACTCGAATATTCACAAGCCACCTTGTGCAGTAAGAAAGGTGCTGGTCTAGCATTACAAATCTACAAATGTAAAATTGTGCTTCAGAAAGAAGGTGAGCATCAGCTATACTGAGATCTAATTATGATTCATTGCTCTGCTTCTCCAACAGGCTCATCCTTGTTCACATCATCCTTGCACTGTCGAGGACATCTGTGTCCCAGTGATGGGATCTACATCACACATATGCCTGCGGACCGATCCATCTGACCAGCAAATATCAACTGTTTCAAATGTCCTTTCCATCACTACTGTCGGTGACCCTGAAGCTAGTAGCGAGGCTTCCACCACCCATACTAGTCAGGACACCGTTCAAACAAGCGAGACTTCCACAACAGCTAACAATACCCTTGTTCAAGCAACTGTCACTTCCACAACAGCTAACAATAACCTCGTTCAAGCTAGCGATTCTTCAACAACAGCTAACAGTAACCTCGTTCAAACAAGCGACACGTCAACAACAGCTAACAGTTACACTGCTCAAGCAACCGACACGTCAACAACAGCTAACAATAACCTCGTTCAAACAAGCGACACTTCAACAACAGCTAACAGTAACACTGTTCAAACAAGCGACACTTCAACAACAGCTAACAATAACCTCGTTCAAACAAGCGACACTTCAACAACAGCTAACAGTAACACTGTTCAAACAAGCGACACTTCAACAACAGCTAACAGTAACCTCGTTCAAACAAGCGACACGTCTACAACAGCTAACAGTAACCTCGTTCAAACAAGCGACACCTCAACAACAGCTAACAGTAACACTGTTGAAACAAGCGACACCTCAACAACAGCTAACAATAACCTCGTCCAAGCTAGCGATTCTGCAACAACAGCTAACAGTAACACTGCTCAAGCAAGCGACATGTCAACAACAGCTAACAGTTACCTTGTTCAAACAAGCGACACATCAACAACAGCTAACAGTAACTTTGCTCAAGCAAGCGACACTTCAACAACAGCTAACAGTAACTTTGCTCAAGCAAGCGACACTCAACAACAGCTAACAGCAACTTTGCTCAAGCAAGCGGCACTTCAACAACAGCTAACAGTAACTTTGCTCAAACAAGCGACACATCAACAACAGCTAACAGTAACTTTGCGCAAGCAAGCGACACTTCAACAACAGCTAACAGTAACTTTGCTCAAACAAGCGACACTTCAACAACAGCTAACAGTAACTTTGCTCAAGCAAGCGACACTTCAACAACAGCTAACAGTAACTCTGATCAAACAAGCGACACTTCAACAACAGCTAACAGTAACACTGCTCAAGCAAGCGACACGTCAACAACAGCTAACAGTAACTTTGCTCAAGCAAGCGACACTTCAACAACAGCTAACAGTAACTTTGCTCAAGCACGTGACACGTCAACAACAGCTACAGGTAACATTTTAGAAGTATTTCAGATTTTCACCTCGACCAACATCGTATCGGAGATTAAAATCTCATTGAAATTAACCAGTCAAACATAGGCGGTGAAGCTTGTGCCCAAACACTCGATCCATATTTCAAACAGTGCTAATGGCCCAGTGTTTGGAGTCCCCATGATGTAGTATAACTTGTGGTTATGTTTCAGCCGATGGCTCATGTTCAGGGGACTCTGACTGCAGTGCATTTCCGACTACAAGTTGCCGTGCTGGTTTCTGTACATGTGGTATAGGATACGATCTGGATGTTGCTAGAGCAGTTTGCAGGGACTTAAGAGGTATCGTTGCATTACTTTACAGTATTTGGAGGATTGGTGTCATAAGCACATTCTTAAGATTCCATTTGCTGACTTGTCTTTTACTCGGTGAGATTATGGCCCTTACAGTCGGATTCACCATGTTCAGTAGAACAGAACAGTACTTTAGTGGAAGCCGAGGTGGCTGAGTGGGTAGATGGCTGACACTGTGTTCTTGCGATTGGGTGCCTGACTCTGAGAGCGTGACTACCAATCCCTGACCAACAAAATCACTGGAATCAGTACTTTACTGAGAAAGTGTAAACCCAAATCTAGCATGTGTTACATTTGACCACTTTCTAAATAACATTGTGTATTCACTGTGTATTCAGAAGATGGTTGAAACCCTCCCCTGATTTATCGGGTACTGTTGACAATACAATATTGGTAATATGATAAACCCCGAAACCCCGAAATACAAAGAAAGCTAACAAGCAATGAATTTGTTAGATGTTTAACGCCGCACTCAGCATTATTCAGGGACGGGTTACTTGCACATCAGTTCTTAATGACGTTTGTGAGATAGTCGATGATCAGACAGAGTCTAACAAACAATCCATCGTTGTTTCAGAGTGTACCACCTTCGGAACAGAATACATCCATTTCCCAGGACAGGCTATTTGGAGTGAAGATATAGAGTCAAACCCCTCCTCATATCCTGTAGCACAATGTGTTCAATTATGCAATGAAGCTTCAACGTATGTATGTAGATCATTTGAAACAGACACCAGACTCAACGGGTGCTACACTCAGACAATCACGTGGCTTGATGTAACTGAGAACAAACATATCTACAATGACCGTTATGATCACTACCAACGAAAGTGCATCTGGGGGGACATATAGAACATGTCGCTTCTGACAATTACATGCATGCTTTATCTGATGAAATGATACATAGAAGGCCATGTGTCCAGTTCCCTTCTCAGTGCCCCTGTTTCTAGTTACGGCTGACATACATCAGCTTAATGTTTGTCCTAAGTCTCATCAAGTTGACAATATCAGCTTTATCGGTTAATCATTAATCTTCCTTGCACAGAAGATTTTGAACCTTTGCTCTTGTTTTGGTATCATAAAGGATAATGTTGGTGGGGAAAAGATTTTGGGGTTATAGTTCGTCCCAGATTGACGATTAGATTGACTCAGCTACCGCGACTTCCACAAAAATGGAAGTCGGACAACTGGTAGTCTAGACTGCCTGCTTTGTGTACCCCTCTGACTACCAGTTGTCCGACTTCCATTTTTGTGGAAGTCGCGGTAGCTGAGTGGGTTAGGTGGCTGACTTTGTGTGCTGGCGATTAGGTGCCTGAATCTGAGGGTGTTAGTTCGAATCCCGGATGGGGCTCAACCCAAGAAGTACTAGAGTTTGTACTTTACAAAGGAAGTGTAATCCCAAATATAACATATGTTACATTTGACCACTTTCTAAATGGCATTGTGTAATCATGACATACATCAGCTTGATGTTTGTCCTAAGTCTCATCAAGTTGACAATATCAGCTTTATCGGTTAATCATTAATCTTCCTTACACAGAAGATTTTGAACCTTAGGATAATGTATGTTGGGAAAAGATTTTGGGGTTATAGTTCGTCCCAGATTGACGATTAGTTTACTCAAATGCACGTTCTGCCATGGACTTTCAACATTACCTCTATACTACACAGATATGACTGTTGGGAACATGTTACTGATGTTTAAAATCGTGTATTGATAAGTTTAGTTTATCAGGATACTGTCTCTACCCTATGTGAGTGAGTGAGTTTAGTTTTACGCCGCTACCCTATGTAGTTACGGTAAACGTTCACTGGACATTTCTTTGAGTCACATTTATGTATGATGAACAGGAATTATTCTTATTGCAATGGATGCAACGTTTGGAATAAAGACGTTATCTATCCATACATAATCGTTTTTTGTTTACATTAGACAGTTGAGTCAAGGTGACTTGACTGAAGGCCTCTCACTTGACGCATGGGTGTCCTGCTCGGGTGTCCTGCTCGGGTGTCCTGCGCGGAGAAATCTGGAGTCTCGAGGGAACGTTGTAGTTTCATGACTTCGGTCCTTCTTATAATATAACATCTTCAATGTTTGAAGATTGCGCGTAATCAATAGTGAACAATGCATTAAGTATGGTGAACACATATTTGGGAAGTACATTTAGAGTTCACACAAACAAAATCACCAAAACTGGTACCGTTAAGATACCCCAAAGTCAGTATTGTGTATGGCATCTGTGGGCATCAATGAAAGCGTTAAATCATCGGTATATGGAATGAATGAGCCGGTTGATGAGGGCCATAGGCACTTGGGTTCCTACTCTGCGAAATGCCTGATCGAGTCCAGCAGCTGTTGTCGGCCTTGGATGGAGGTCATTCAGTCTTCTTTGAATCTCGTCCCAAAGGTGTTCTATTGGACTAAATTCCGGTTTGAGCGCAGACTATTGTTGGGTTTGGATGCCATGTTGTCTTAGGAAGTCCAATGTTACTCTAGCAGTGTGGGCACGAGCGTTGTCTTGCTGGAACATGTGATTTCTGTAACGTCCAAAATGTGGTACAACATGGGGTCTTATGAGTTGGTCAAAATAGCGAGCAGCTGTCACGTCTTTTCCTCATCCTGGACAGAGATTCTGGAACACTACGGTGCTAACTATCTGGTTCAGACCGATTGCACCCGATACCATGATGCTAGGACCGCCCCACGAGTCTCTTTCAACAATACATTCATTGGAAAACACTTCCCCACGCCTTCACCACATTCTCACTCTGCCATCGAATGTCGAAACACAGTATCGGCTTTCATGAGAACACAGCACAATTCTCCATTGTTGATAACGCCAATTCCGTCATGATTAAATGAATAAATATGTTTAAACCATAACGCCAATTTCGATGCTGAGTTGCCTGTTGCAGTCGGTTTTGGTCTACGATATGGTCTGAGACAGTAGAATGCTCCTCCAAAGCCTTTATGTATTATACCTAATGTATTACTCCAAACCAATGTATTCTAGTGTCTTTCCGCGCAAACGTCGACGCACTGTATCGGCACTGATGGGTCTGTTGTAAGCGATCCTGCAGATGGTGGCGCACAATCTGTCGGTCTTGACGTTATGATGTTACTGAAGGTCGCCAACTGCGTGGACGGTCTTCGATGCTGTTAGTAACCTGATACCGCTCCTGCAGTCGGTAGATTGGCTCTAACATGAACATTAAAATGATTGGCTTCTCTTGGTACAGACTGGCCAACTTGCAATCGTCCAAAGACTTGGTTCCTCTGATCTCTTGTAGGTCGTGCCATCGCGATTATGTCAAAACATAAATGATTTCAGGCGAGTTTGGGACTCGCTTTTATGTTTAGGGTTGTCACAATATGCACGTGCATTTTCATTTTCATGAATGTCACACGGAACCTTTTACCACGTCTGCCTCTTTAGGTGCGTTTGGTGGAAATGCTTTTTCATCAGAAAACACACTGATGTTGGTAGTAACTGTCAGTTTGGATTGAAAAACATGTTAACAAAACGATACAATCATAATAAAAACACCATTTCGTAAGAACAAAATATTGCATTTGGTTTTGAAAGGCGACGTTTCTTTTGTGGTTCAGTATATATTCTAAAACGACAGTCCTCTTCCACGTATTTTTGCCAACGTGTTTTTGGCTGTCCAAAATTGGTTTTGGTTCTGCCTGTGGCTTTATTCATATGGTTGTAGTACCTTCTTGAACTCTGTCTAAATATGGCACAAGTTTAAATTTAGCACATCACTCAATATATAACACTAGCACAAAATATTGGCCACACTCGTTGATTGTAGGGCAACGATTGATGAAAGGCCACGTTTCCTCAGCTTCATACCCATAAATTGCTTCAGACGTGCAACAGAATATGCTCTATTTAATGTTTGTCCACCATGATGACAGACTCGGTATCCCACAACACGGATGTCATCAATTCTGTGGAGTGTATATGGATCATATACTTTCTAAAAAGTAACTTTAGGCTTTAACTTTCGCGCACAGCAATAAGTACGTACATGTAAGCTTTAATATTCTATGCATCCCTGAAAGCCGCAGTACACACACAATAACAGCCAATAGAACAGTATGTTTCTATGATATTGCTTCCCACGAAAAGAACCTCCAAAGGGAATATATACAGTTGAGCACCGTTGTCTCGATATTCATGGGACCAAGAAAAAATATCGAGTGATCCGAATTTCGAGACATCCGACCAGGGCATATCATCACACATCACTATGAAAGAAAACACAACAAAAAGTAGATTTCATGTCTGTTCATTTCATGTATATATATTTACTCACTGGGATCGCAGCTTATGTTATAGTGTCCATCTTGAATTATACAAAGGTTGGATTTATTCAACGGACGAACGGAGTTCTGAAAGTTTAGGTTGACCAACCTTTGGTGGTGGCATGAAAGCGATAGTACCTAACCACTCTCGATACAAAACAATAGCTTTCAAATTGACTCCTAATCCATGTTTCTCAGTCCACAATTTAGAAACAACTCAACAATCACATGCTAGTCACGTGTTTGCACAAAACCCTCATTGGATAATCTGTTATCAGTAGTGTTTAGTCGTAACAGTGAGTACTTCCTAATTAATTACTTTTTAGTTAATCTTAATTAAATAACATCAAGTGACACCTTCAACTCAATTAACCCTAATTAGTTTACGCTACCGCATCCCTTTGCTTCATGCCGCACCGTGTGTAAACGTGAGTAAACAACCTTAGTTCAGAGGGATACTTGCCTATGAAAGGTAGGTGAATATCGAGTTTCTTTGCAAATATCGAGTTAAAAGGGTAATTTAACTTGTTGGGACCATGAAATTATATCGAGATATCCGAAACATCGAGACATCCGTATCGAGTTTAAAAAGCTTGAATAATGATAAATTATGAAGGATTTTGCCGGGCCTGAGATGTTATATATCGAGACAACCGACATATCGAGTTATCAGAGTTCGACACAACGGTGCTCGACTGTATATCCATTTACATATTATCACGAGACTTGCTGTGCCTGGTATGTTATGTATCAGATATCAGAAGCTTGATACCCAGTATTCTAAACATTTGCTCATTGTGAACGTTTCTGTTGTAATGCAGTAGAATCTCCTTTGGGAAACTTACAAATTCTTTAGCCGGGGATTAATCTCCACATCGTGGATCCTTGCCAATGCTTTAAAAAGTCCCCTGACAACAGTCTTTCCTGCAAGAAGAGTAATTGGAAGCAAACGAAACCAAAAACATTAGAATATCCTCCAGGTTAGACAGCTTGAAGAACTGCAGTCCAATTAATATTCACCATCGACTCAAGGAGTGGTTGATCGTGTCCTATTTCAAACGTTTCCTTTAACGCCACACTGGGCAGTGATACAGTAAATACAGTTGTTTGAAAGTAATCGATTCTGACTCAGACAACCTTTTCATAAATATTGAAAACCACTCCATCGGATACCGTCAGCTACTCGTCTGAAGTAATGGCGCGAACTATGCTACTAAAGTAACGTAAATTACTTCAGTGCAGTGCAGTGCCGTGCCGTCCTGGAAATAGACCGGAACTTCAGATCGGCATTCCCCAGAAAAGGTGACGCTCATCTGGTTTGATCCTGCCAAAAATCATACGCTTGTCTCAAAGATTCAGTGTGTGAGTTTTGGTTTACGCCGCACTCAGCAATATTCTAGTTATATAGATAAGTAATCGGGTCTGGACCAGCCAATCTAGTGAACACGATGACAAAAGCCTTTCTATGGAAGTACATTAGTACTTCAGCATGAGCATCGATCTGCGCAACTGGGATACGATGACATGTGTCAGCCAGCCTGACCACCTGATCCCATTAGTCGCCTTTTACGACAAGCATGGGTTACTGAAGATCAATTCTAACACGGATCGTCACGGGTCCAGCGGTATCTAACATAACAGAGGAACTGGTTTTGTTGGTTGTTGGCAATGGACGTTCTGTTGTATTTTTTACTTATGTTATCCATTCGCTGGACATCTTGTTTGCATGATGACAATGATAGACACCATCATGCCCATGTCTCTCCGACACGCAGGCATAAGAACATTGGAGTCCCTTGACCAAGTTACCAAACATGATCC